ACCCACGCACACCTGCATTGCACACACCCTTGCTACCTATCCTCCTGACGGATACACCCACCATACTACGACAAAAGTGCGTCCGTCGACCGTCCATTTTATATCAGTATGGGGAACAACGCCTCATCCCCCAAGGCACCCGGTACGCCTGGACACGACGGGAACAATAGCAGCAGCGGTCGCCCCGTGCAGTACCACCAGCAGCTTCAACAACAGCAATATCAGCAGCAGCAGCAGCAGCAACAACAGAAGGGGACCCGGAATCCTGTTCAAGTACAGAACCAGCGCGTCGCGGCACCTCCCGAGCCGTCTATGGCCCATGCCCAAGGATCTACTGCATCGTCGGCCTCACGCTCTATCCCGTCCCGGCCCTACAGCACCGCAGCAGAGGCAGCCGGCGCTGCGTCCGCCTCGCCGTCCCGCCAGACCCCCAAGTCCAGCAACACGCCACCTCCGCCGTCCAAGCCCGTCGCCGTGCCTCTGCCCGTGTCCGTTCCGGCAGCCGGCAGCGGCACAGCCAAGATCCCAGCAGCACCACCGGCCAACGCTATTGTACCGAGTGCATCCGGTGGCGTCCAAGTTCCGGCAGGCCACAGCGACTACGAGCCACCTCTGAGCCCCTACGCCGACAGCATGGACGTACCCATCTTGGCGCACAACAGCATGCCGGACGTATCGTACCTGACGCGGCCACCGCGCCTGCCGCTGCCCATCGAGGAGGAGGTGCACACGCCCGGCTCGCCCATCATTGCGCCGCGCAAGGACGGCGACCCGGTGGACGACATTGAAGCGCTCGACAACGACGGCCTGACCCAGCGGTCGTCTACGCTCAGCTCGGCCACCATCGAGGAAGAGGACATGGAGGAGCTGCGCGTGGACAAGACACGGCCCACGGTGCCCACGCGTCTGGAGTGGCTGCGGGGCGGTGAGAAGGTCTACGTCACCGGCACCATTTTCCAATGGAACAAGAAGCAGCGCATGCATCCAGTGTAAGTCGACAGCATGTGTATATTGCGTCTGCCACGGGCCTCATGGACTAACGAAGGTAACGTAACAGCGAAGGCCGGCCTGGTGTATTTGCGACGACGATTAATGTTCTTCCTGGCACACACCACATCCGCTTCCTGGTCGACAATCAGATGGAAACATCGCGGGACCTGCCAACAACGGTGGATTTCGGCAACAATCTCGTCAACTACATCGAAGTAGCGCCACAGAGCACGCCACCCAAGGACCAACAGGGCGTGCCGCCCCCGGCGTCATCCTCGTCCTCTGCTTCAGCCTCCGCATCTGCGTCTGCCTCTATGTCTGGTTCATCGAGCGGTGCGCCTTCCAGTGCCACCGGCGCGGGCCAGGCCGGCGTGGCCGTCTCGAAGCAGCACCAGGAGCAGCAAAAGCAGCGTCAACAGCAGCAGCAGCAGTCCGCACATGCACACCAAGCACAGGCGCCCAAGTCGACGGCCCAGCTGATCGGCGCCGATTCGTCCGTTGAGCTGACTGACCGCGCGCCCAAATGGAAGAACCTGCCCGAGCCCTCGGCCTTTTCGCACGAGCTGCCCAAGTTCCTGGTCGACTACGATCAGCCAGACGATTCGCCCGACTTCCACACTGCGGCAGCCGCGACAGAAATTCTGCCCATGCCGCCGAGTCTGCCTGGTTTCCTGGGCAAGCCAATTCTCAACGCTGCCACGCTCATTAAGGACGACAACAGCGTCTTGAACATGCCCAACTACACGATCCTGAACCATCTGGCCACAAGCAGCATCAAGAATAACATCCTAGCCGTGTCTGCGACGACGCGTTACAAGGACAAGGTGAGCACGGCGTCGAGTGCAAACGAAGCGTATTGTGAGACGAACATGCAACCAATACTAACACGCATAGTTTACTACGATCATCATCTACAAGCCGACCGGAGGCGACGACATCAAGCGCTGAGTGTACATGATGTAGGAGGAGTCCCATCATTTGTAAAGCTATGTACTGTGCTGCCTGCTGTATGTTCGACGCGAGTATCGCCCCTTCAGTTTTTGTTCTGTCGGGTCTTGATTTCCTCAATTTAGTTATATATCTGCTTTTATCATCGTCGTTGGTGTACAGTGTACCTCTTTATCGTATATGGAAGGCGGATTTGGGGTCAACAGATAAACCGGATTTCAATACTATGGCATTCAATTATGTACACAGAAAGCAGTCGTGAATTCATATGCGTCATCGCGACAGAAATAAGACCATCAGTGGCAGTAGACCGACTCCTTTTCTAAACTTCATGAATATCGTCAAACGCCATGCTAGTCTCGCCGCCATGCTACGAGCACTTCGTCCGTCCGGAATCGTTGTGTGCACGAGCTGTCCACCAACGGCGTCTCAAAGCCAGTCTCGTGCGCAAGCAGGCCGGCGTGCGCAATCATGATGCCGTTGTCGATGCAGAACCGCTCGTCTGTCGCATATACACTGCCGCCGCGCTCGGCCGCCATCTGGCCCATCATCGCCTGCAGGCGCTCGTTGCAGCCCACGCCGCCGACAATCAGCACCTGGTTGCTGCCGACGTGCGCCATGGCCCGCTCGGTGATCTCGACGAGCATCGCATACACCGTTTCTTGCAAACTGAAGCACAGGTCTTCTGGTGTGATCAGGTTCTTGCCGTCCGGCGCCAAGCGGCCAGCGCGCATGTGGGCGGCCCATTCATCGGCACGCGTCAGCACCCCCGAGAACGAGCAGTCCATGCCCTTGACGGCGTACGGGAGATCGAGCAGCAGCGGTTCACGCTCCGGTTCACTTGCCGTGTCGTTGCTTTGCCCCGTGTTCCCCTCGTCGTCGTCCGTCTCCCGCCACTTCTTGTTGCGAAACGGGCCCTTGGCCAGCTGCTCAATGTTGTAGCCCGGCGCCGGGTCATTGGACAACCTCAGCGTGCGCGCAAACCTGTCCAGACAGTTGCCCACGGCCACGTCGAGCGTCTCACCAAAGATGCGGTACCGCCGCCCCGCGTACGCAATGACTTGCGAGTTGCCGCCGGACACGTACAGCACCACAGGATGTGTGGCGCCCGTCACGGCACGGCCCATTTCAATGTGGCCCACGCAGTGGTTGACCCCGACCAGCGGCTTCCGCCAGAGCAGGGCCAAGGTGCGCGCACCCACGGCCGTCGCCGAGAGTGGTGCACCCATGCCGGGGCCTCTGGTGAAGCAGACGCAGTCGATCTGGTCTGGGCGGATGCCGGCGTCGGCGAGTGCCCGGCGGGCCACCTTGACAAACATGTTGCGGTGGTGGGCGGCAGTCTCCCGAGGCAAGAAACCCGTGCCGGGCGGGCTCACAAAAGTGTCGCGCACATTGGACAGGACAATGGCCGCATCGTCTTGGCCCTCGAGCCCCTGCACCGGGTTGCCGTCGCTGTCGACGGGGTGTGCAATGACGCCGATGCCGAGCTTGTTGGCGGACCCTTCGCAACCAATGGCAATGCGGTATCGTCGCTTAGGGTCGAGACGGCTGGCTGACATGGTGTGTGAGTCGTGGCGTTCACCAGTTTTTGTCCAAGAGACTGTGAGACGTGATAGTTTGTCCTGCAGTCGGCGCGGCGAGATGCAGTCGTTGTCTCTTGAACCGTCCTTCTCAATCTCAAATATTCTGCTCAAGCTCTCCCGCTAAATTACATAAATTTGTTGTTAAAATCAGCTGTTTTAAATTGCCGTAATCGTGAGTTTGTGACAAAGAGAGGTTGTCACGTTGATGAGAGGACGTTGAAAGGCACGCTTAGCAGCATATAAAATTCGAGTCTTGCAGCTATCCGGCTGAATCGAGGGGCAAGCTCAGCAGCCTTTTTGGTACTGACGATGAATACAACGACCGTTACTTCCCAAGGCAAATATAGGCGGCGAGGAGCGGCAGAATTCGCACCCCAGCGAGCCCCTAGATTCACTCAAGCCACTGTCGTCAACAAGGGACTTTGGAACAAAATGGCACAACAGAATGCCAGCGGAAGTAGCCCCACTTTGGCCCGTCTTAGCTCTTTCCCTGGTTTGGCTCTGGCGACATCAGCGGGTCCATATGGACCGCCTTCTTTCTTTTCTGCCTTTTATTTTGCACTTCCTTTTTTTGCCCTCCCACCATTATTATTTTCAATTTGTTTCCCTCTTCCACTCGTCATTCGGTCATTTTGATTGTTTGGGCCTCATTCCCTCCGCCTCCAACGTCAGCTTCCAGCTCCTCACCTGCCTTTCTGTTCTCCGTGTCTGCTACCTGCGCCCTCTTTCTCTCAAACTCTGTCGACTTCTCGACTTCTCCCCTCTTCTACTTGTTCTTCTCGTCTTGGCTGTCCTGTCTCCGATCGTCCTCGTTCTTCCCCCCCGCCTTCTTCCGCTCATCATACCGTATCTGTCAATCATTACCGGCTCGATTATTTACAAACATCGCAGCATGACACCTTGAGTCCCGGAAGAGTAAGGACTTCTCCTCAATATCGCGACCTTCTCTCGAAAGCCACCTTAGGCAGCGATGGCACCGTGGCTCTCCCGACCATCGTCGTGACGTTGTCAGGTAAGACTTCTTTCAGTCACTGGTCACTTGCCTTCTCCCCAACTGGCCAGTCACGTCGGGCTTTTTCAGATGAGTCTGTGCGAAAAGTCTTCTTATTTTAATATTTTTTGTACTTGCCCCCACCAAAGACTTGGTCGGCAGCTTTCTATTATATTCGTGTCATCGTCGCCATCGCCAGCTCCTATCCCATATATGCGGGGGAAAATGAAACAAAACGCTAACTAAGTATACAGATATTCCCATTTGGGCCCGACCGCCTGAACACCGCGCAGAGCCTCCTTTTGCGAAAGGAAGGAAACCCAAAAGTAAAGGAAGTGAAAAAAGTAGAAAGGCAAAATGCGCGCCGGCCCAAAGAAGAAAAGATGATCGCAGAAAAACGACAGGAGAGTCGAGAATGAGATGCACACGTCCGCCAGCACCGAAATCGACTCGGGCAAGCGGACCTAAAAGGGGGAGAGAATGAGAAATCAAGAGGACGCAGTGGCCTGGGCTGCAGACGCTGCTCCGGGTTGTGCTGCGTGCGGGCGTTGCTGGATTGTTTGCCTTGCCCCTGGTGGTACGCCATTCGTCCTCTGCCCTGCGTTGGGTTGGGCGTCTGGCCGACGCAACGGGTACGGGAGAGAGAATGGGAGAGACGCACGGTACTTGAGCGCCTGGATGCTGTACGGATCAACCTCATACACGTCCGGCTCATCCTCGCTGTCGTCATGGTCGTACTTCCAACGATCGGGGGTTGGGTCGACCCCCATGTCCACGGAATGGCTCTCAAACTGACCGGGCGCCTCCGGAGGTGGAGTGACCATAATCCTCCTCCGGTCGATCCACAGCCGGTTGAGACGACCAATGCGGCGCCGGAATTGGTGTCCGGGGGGTTGTGCTTGGCCATACGGCGGCGTCGACAGACCCTTGAACGTGAAAACGGCAGCTGACTCCGGCTCATCGAGCTCCATCGGCACGGGTTCGTCCTCTTGAGACGTCTCGGAGGCCGGTGGAGTCATCAGATACTGGGTCGTGGCAGGGCGGAAACCAGCACCCTCATTACGGTCCTTGAGCGGCTTAAGAGGCTCGCTGGTCAGGTCAACGTGGTTCTCGTTCCACCGGCGGTGGTTCTCGATCCGTTTGATGACGTCTGCGCGCAGTTCGTTCTCTCTCTCCACAAGCGAATCAGCCAATAGGACGAGGTCCATTTCTGGCTGCCGGTTGTCTGGGCGCGTGGCTGCGCGCACTTGCGCTGCGGCGGCATTGCGCTGTGCAACCGACAAATCGGGCGCCTTCTTCTTTTGAGGCTGCAGCTGGGTTAGCGACATGCGCCCGTGGGTACTATAAGGGACGGTGGGCGGTAGAGGGTTTACCTTTTGGTGGACTAGATCCTCGTCGTCGGTCCGGATCCCCAGCCGGACCTTCATGAGCTTCAACTTCGCCCTCTGCTCGTATACGGCGCGGTCTGTGAGCAACAGGTCGCGTTTGAGGACTTCACGCTCGTGCGACAGGATGACAAGTTGTCGACCGTCCTCGAGTTCGCGCCGCAGCTTTTTGAGCTTGTCGGCACTCTGGAGATCACGCGCGCGCGTCTTGCGTGTTTGCCGCACCTCACGCCGGCGGAAACAGACAAAGGGATCCATCTCATCTGTCTCTTGGTGTGTCTCGAACTTGAGAGACGGGTGCAGCGGCCCGCCCACGTCGATGCGCCGTGACTTCCAGAATTCATAAATGTCCTTGGCGTGGTTCATCACTTTGGGCAGCTGCAGCTCATGAAGGCCGCCGACCATGTGGTCGTAGGGCACGATGGTCTTGTCCACCGACGCAAATGGCGTTGCGACGGATGCCGTGTCCTCAAAGACCTCCATGATCTGCTCAAAGTCGTCCTCGGAGAGCTGTTGGCTGGCGGGCTTCTTCTTGTTGTAACCCTTTAGAAACTCGTCGTCCTCCTCCGTCATGTCATACTGGCAGCCGATGCATTCTTCTACCGTTTGCGAAAATCGGATGTAGTTGACCGGTTGCTGAAACTTTCGGGCATATAGCGCATCATAGTTGATGTCGCTCTCCATAGGCGGCGGTACGGGGATCTCCTTGACGGCCGCCGAAGACGTGCCCTGCAGGGCGACCTGCAAATGGTATTCCTATCGTGGCGAGCATGGTCAGTGGCCGGATCCGCTAAAGGCGAATAAAAGCAAAACATGGGCAAGGAAAAAACGATGCGACGGCGACGTGGCGACGACACCATTGTGGTAGCTGTCGCATCTTGCCGCATGCATCGCGGACGTAGTCATGTGTGTCATCACGTGCATGACACGTGACAACATCACAGAGCGTGGAGGGCGACGATGCGAAAAGCATCAGAAACGCGGCGGAAGGGGAATCAAACGCGATGCGATTTCATCGGAAATCATTTACTTACATTTTCTTCGCCTTGCTCGACACCCGTCGCGATTTGTGTCTCGGTGGTGAGGGCTTCATATTCGCTGGGGTCGACCTGATCCTCACGCAAAACAGGCAGTGCCGTTTTTATGCTGAGTTTCTTGTATCGGACTTTCCGGGTTGCCATGGTTGCGGATGAGGGCCAGCAAAGGCCTCAACGACAAAATGACCGCGAAATGGGCACCAAGCCCGCGGAAAATCCGCTTAAAAATTCGATGGGGATTTGGAGGGCAACATGCGACACAAAGTGGTCGATTTTTTTCGATTGATTTCCGAAGTTTTGGACGTGTTTTGATGCCCCAAAGATGCTGCTCCGAAAAGTCGACTGTCGTGGGAGGCTGCAGCGGAAGAGGTTTTTTGGGCTGGTTGGTGGTAGTGGGAGGTGTTGTCTTTCGCAGAGCCAAAACACGAGAAAATTTTTCCCTCCTTGCGTGTTTTCGCCTGCCCGCGGGAAAAAAAAGGGGGGAAAGAGACCGGGCGGTAGGCGGGCGACCACTAACTGGACAGTGGGAAATTAACTGAATTCTCCCCCAATGCACAGTAAATAGCACAAAGTGACAGGGAGTAGCTTTTGAAAGGGGCAAGGCTCCTGCCCTGTTTAGCCTAACGCTCTCCTTCTGAAATGGAAAGAGCCAGCGCCCATCCCTCCCTGTTCCGTCTTCCAGGCGCTGCAGAGACACAGCCGCAAGCGGACGGAGAATTTTTGCGGGTGCTATATGTATGGTTATCAGCAAATACAGTACGGCCTCTCACTGACTTCATACCAATTGAGTCACGTGTCTGCCTTCAAAAATGAATCGATGGAAGCAACCACTCACTCCGTTGTACAAGCTATTCTGTCACGATTGTTATGTATACAACTTGAGGTGATTTCACGATATGTAAATGGCTGTCTTTTATTCGATTCATAAATACAGAAGTAGATGAATACGTTCTATGACAGGCCACTGTTGGGTGTCAAGTAATAACCAATTTCGTACCTTATGTTTTGTCACGTGATAAAATTTAATTAGCAAGGCCCGAACAGAAGCACGTGCAGCCTTCAAAGCTAACTTACCCCACTAAATGTTTACAACTGTCTGAGGCGGTTGGAGGTCCTCGCCCCCTTTATGTTCTTTGTCTTACAGCCTTACCAACCCAAACTAGACCTCCCCACGAACGACGTCGTTGACCACAGTGCACGCACAACGAGTACGACGCTGGTGATAATCGAAACGGCACGACTTATAAGCGAAGCTCTGTCACCGCGAACCCACCTCACCGCCAGACTTTAAAGTCAAAAAGCGGGAAGACGTCCTAAGGACCAGGAACGAAGCTGGGCAGCCAGCACGCGTGAACGACCCTGATCAACCGGACGACAAAGGAGAAACAAAACAGCGGCCTGGCACAGGTACGGCAACGACTCAAGCGGCCTACTCATACGACACAAAGGAGGCACCAATATTTCGACGACTTCGACCTTGACCACAGCAAACCACCCAACAACACAGGCGCATCATGGGAAACACAACAAGTGCGGTCCTGGACCAGATTGTCCAGACCACCAACTGTGGGTGGCAACAGCGCCGACTGTCCCTTTCTTGTCTTGTGGACAGCCGACACGATAGCTGACACGAGAAACTTGCAGTCGATCGCGATGAGGTGGAGCGCCTACGAAAGCGGTTTATGAAGCTGGACAAGGTGCGTGGTGGTCACACGTCTCTTTTACACGCGCGTTGACACACTGGTCGTGCTTTGAGACCTCGGCAGGGAACTCTTGTGCTGACACGTAGCTCCTCCAGGACAACTCCGGAACGATAGAGCGCGACGAGTTTCTGAGCCTGCCACAGATCGCCTCGAACCCACTAGCAACAAGGTACGAACGAGAAGAGGAGACGGAGCATATGACCGGAGAACGCACGAGGGATGGGGAGCATGGGAGCCGTAGAATGAGCACGTCATACGATTGTTGCAAAAGAAAGAAACAAAGGAGAAAACGTGGGCTAACGTCGTTTTCCCCCGCCAGGATGATCGCCATCTTCGACGAGGACGGCGGAGGCACAGTCGATTTCCAGGAGTTTGTTGCAGGCCTAAGCGCATTCTCTTCCAAGGGCAACAAGGAGCAGAAGCTGCGATTTGCGTTCAAGGTCTACGACATTGACCGCGATGGTTATATCAGCAACGGTGAGCTGTTCGTGGTGCTCAAGATGATGGTCGGTAACAACCTCAAAGACCAGCAGCTGCAGCAGATTGTCGACAAGACGATCATGGAGGCCGATCTCGACCAGGACGGCAAGATCAGCTTCGAGGAGTTCACCAAAATGGTCGAGAACACGGACGTCAGCATAAGCATGACGCTTGGTGAGTACTTCTTGTGCCCTGCACATGACCTCAATCCGTTGTATTGTCCTACTGACCCTTTGCAGACCAGTTTTAATCCCATCTCGTTTGGTTGCTCTGCGCACTCCTCGATTCGGCGGTTTTGTGTCTCGCATTAACCGACAGGCATACTGGGTATGTCAGTAACACTGGCTCTGCACAAAGGGAACGGCATTTCATTCAAGATGCATCCTCTTTCGATGCGTTTACGAGGGCATGCGAATGCAATAGACAATTTTGTATTCTGTTTGGCATTTCTTATTTCGTCGTTTCTTGTCATGTCTGGGTCTATTTATGCTACTGATGAATGAGCTGATGATGAAAAAACACCATATTTCTAAATATATTACTTCCTCAATAACGATTTTCACAAGGGAAGAAGTGCCGATCTGTGCTAAAAACTATAACGGGCACATACTCGGTCGGCTGTATGGCCCAGCAAAGACCCTGGATAAAATTGTATTTCAATACGCAGTCATGGAACGTCGTTCTGTAGAGGTCTGGGAACTACCAGGTCAAATGGTCTATCATTGAGGGCTAATTGTGTCTTGTTGGTGCTTTTTCTCGTCTACGGTGATTTGACACCAGAAGAGATCATTTCCGTGTGTTCATTTTCATGTATTCATTTTTGAACTGCTGTTACCGTTGAAATATCTTGTATTTATTATTATTATCCGCCTTTCTCAGCCACTCCTGACTATTGGCGACTAGCTAGACAGAACCCTCTGGGGAAAAAACTGTCACAGATCTAAGTGTGTAATCTTTCTAGTTACGGTTGCGTGCGGTTGGCTCGAATAGCCACCGAGGAGGTATAAATAAAACAGAATAAAACAAAACAAAACAGAGTAGAATAAAATAAGACAAAAGAGTAAGGAAAGTAGATGGTGTAAAGAGTGTAAGGAGAGTCGGTGTATTGTTTAGTGTGTCGTCACTTTAGGCCGGCGACGGCGACCGTTCAAGCTCCCTCGCTAGGCTATACTCCGGGAGCCTGCCGCTCCGGATAAGCCAACGGAGGAGTGGTCGGGCCGTGAGGCCCGTTTGAAGTCGGCGGTTTAGATCTGTTGGTGTTTGCGGCCAGTCTGTCGGTCGTGGCGGTGCCGCCGTACAGGATAAAAGGACATGAATATCTTGTATTTATTATTATTATTATTATTATCCGCCTTCCTCAGCCAGTCCTGGCTATTGGCGACTAGCTAGACAGAACCCTCATGGGGAAAAAACTGTCACAGATCTAAGTGGGTGGTGTTTCTATGGTACAGGTGCGTGTAGTGGCCCGAGTGGTCACTTTTAACAAGTAGACAAATAAAATAAAACAAATAAAACAAAACAAATAAAACAAAGGAACAATGTGCAGATGTGGGTATGTTGTGTTACACCGGCGACGGCGTCCGTTCTAGCTCCTTAGCTAGGCTGTACTCCGGGAGCCTCCCGCTCCGAATAAGCCAGCGGAGAAGTGGACGGGCCGTGAGGCCCGTCTGTAGGCGGCGGTCCAGGTCCGTTAGTGTTTGTGGCCAGTCTGGCGGTTTTTGGGGTGTTGCTGTGCAAGATAAGAGGACGTGGGCCGGGGTCTCGTCAGCGGTGCCGCATATACATGTCGGGGAGCCCACGGCGTCTCTCCAGTGGAGGTACGCCCGGAGGCCGATATGGCCCGTGCGGATCTGCGTAAGGAGGCTACTCTCGGCCTTGGTTAAGTGGAGGTGACGGCGCCGTACGGCCTTTACCGTCCAGCATGGTGTTCGTGCCGCGAGGGATCCCGTAGAGTGGCCGTTACCGGCGTCTTGTTGCCAGAGGGCCTTCCAACGGCCGGTAACGGCAGTCCAGTCCGTCTCTTCGGGTCTGGGCGGCAGGGGCGGGGCGGGGATAGGCGGGTAATAATTAGTGAACGGCCGGGGGCGGTGGACCGCGCTCCGGATAGTTTGGGCTTTCGCTTGGTAGTCTGGCCGGGATAAGAAGACGGCGCGGCGGTAAGCTAAGTAGAGGTTTAATGGTGGTATACCTGCCTCGGAGTGGAGGAGGTGGATAGGTGTAGACCGGTAGGCCCCCAGGACGGTGCGGAGGTAGCCGTGAAAGATAGTGTCCAGGGAGCTCGTGGGCCGGCGGTTGTCCTTTTCCGGGAGGAAGACACTCGCGCCGTAAGCTGCTGTGCTCCGGAGTACTGCCGTATAGATCGTGCGGGCCCACGGGAGCGTGCAGCCCCACGTCTTCCCGGTGAGTCTCGTAAGGGCATAGCTCTGTGTGGTGAGACGGCGTTTTATTTGCCGGAGGTGTGCCGAGAAAAGGAGCTTCCTGTCGAGCCAGATACCGAGGAAGCGGGCCGACTGTCGGGGCTTAAGGACGGTATCCCGGTCGAGCGTAAGCGTCGTCGTCGGGGCCGCGTGTGTGCGGGAAAAGTGGAGGAGCTCGCTCTTCGCCGGTTCGAATATAACGCCTCTCGGCCGTGCCCACGCCTTGACCGTGGTCCACGCATCCTGTAGGTAGTGACAGCAGACGCCTGGCGTGCGGCCGCTGGCGAGGAGATTAGTGTCGTCGGCGAACCCGATAGTAATAATCCCGTGGTGGCGGCGTAGGGCTTGGTAGAGAGATGAGGTAAAGAGAATAAATAGGATCGGTGATAGCGGGGACCCTTGCGGGACGCCGGCGGTGACATGGCGTGCCGGCGTTGTCTTCCCGTCGAAGGCGAGCTCCGTCGTCCGGCCCGTTAAATAGCTAGTGACCCAGTTGATAATCCAGACCGGGAGGTAGAGAGTGTGTAGCGTGTAGATAAGCCACCCGTGGTGGACGTTATCGAATGCGCCTTGGATGTCGAGTTGAAGGAGGGACGCTGTGTCGCCGAGGCCCCATACGTGCCGTACGGCGTCGGTGAGGAGGCGGGCCGCGAGCTCTGTCGACCGGTAACGCCGGTTACCCATCTGGCCCTCCGGGAGGAGGCTGTTCTCCTCCGCCGAATATCTTGTATTTTGTTTATGTCAATTTCCGTATTATTGTTGTGATTATTATCTGATTTCGTAAGAAACCAAAACATTGGAAAATGAAAAAAAAAAAAAAAACTAAACCACTCTCGCTGTTTCATCCACAATTTGTCATTTTCCTTTCTATCCCGATTTAAAAGTAAAATGTCATACGAAAACCTGCGTGGCTGTGAAATTTTGTGCTACTAACCGCCAAGAAAATGTTTGTTTACTTTAACCCTTCTGCCCCTCAAATCTGTCACATCACTAAACCATACCGCAGGGACATCGAGATTCTCTCACTCGTCCTTTATCCAATTGAATATTTTTATGAGCTCTATCGAGTATGATACAGCTTAATATTCAGCCCACGGTCCTTCTTGGCTTGTCGCTATTAATGGTTGCTTTCCCTTTCGAGGCTGTTCAGTTGGTGGCGCTCTCAAGTACGTCGTAGGCAATTCAGATAGAGCCAAACCCCATAGAGTTTACCAAAGACATAATTTCACTTTTTCGTCCGAACAGGGGGGCAGGACTAGCTACTCATCTGTAGCACACTGCAGGCTCTAGGCTAATTTGAAGGGCAATATTAACGCGAAAGTGTTGCGTAACTCATCCATCTCGAAAGCATGTAATTAACACGGACAAAGTAGAGACAATCCAAGGGATTTGGCTGAAAAATGGGTTATAGACAGACTATGCCGTGGCGTCAATATGCAAGCCTCTGTATCCAGTCAGTCGATTGCCTACTTGAAGCCCGTGTGTCGTTTCCTCTTAGTATTGATCCTTCTGCTCTAAATGTGCGATTGTGTGTTACTATGTCGTACCCAGTACGACATATGTGAATCAGCGGGCACCATAAAAGATGGCTGGTATTGTACCAAGACCAGGGTTCCTTGTGGAGGAAGGAGACGGAAAAGCATAGAAAGTAAAGCCGCTTAAAAGAGGAGCACTGCTCTGATGAATACTCGAAAAGTGCACAAACTGCGATACTCTCACCGTGAGCATCCAAAAACGCGACGAGGTGATTATTTCTTTCCACTTTGATACTCCTTTTACGTCAGAAAAAGAATTGGCGGTTGTTTGGAATGGATGCAAGGTAAAATTAACGACACCTGAATCACAGTGGGTAAGTTTGATCATGGCTGTAGCGAGTTTGTACGAAGGAAGGAGCAAACGCGATGGCAGGGTACGGGGGCTAAGGGTTGAAGCGAGGAGCGGACCCACTCAGAAAGCGCGCCCCGTCCCGAGAGGGCGAACCAGCTAGCTGGGTCAGCCTGGAGAAAGAGGGGAGCGCGTTTACCGCGGTCCGGTATGATATATGACAGACCATTTCGTTGATCTCCCACACCCCTTTTCCTCCCTTCCACTCTTGTCCACCTGTTTCACACATCATTGTCGGACATAGACCTGCAGGCTGCCGAGCGGGGCTACGGCATTGGCAAGGTAGGAAATCGCAAGCCAAAAGGATTGCTCTCGCGCTCGCAATGAACTTTTACCCAAGCGAAAGCTCGAAAGCCAATAAAAGCAGGACCAAGAAAAGAACGGGAAAGAAATCACTGCGACAGTGGACCGGGGACAAAACATAAAAAGCCCCGAGACAGGGGCAAGGGCCGCCAATTCCTTCGGCCGACTCAAGAGTGCCCACTTATTGTCTCCATTACGACGCACACCAGATGGAACCAAAATAGAAATAAGAAAAGAGACGGTGGAAGCAAACGAGCTTCTACAACGCTCGTGGGCTTTTGGCAGGGACGCCGAGGCCCCTCTTACAGAGTAGTCACTATGCAAAGGACACAACCTTGGTTTGTCAAGGAACGTCTCGTAAACGATCTGGGCACCCTTTTTTAACGGTATGTATTTACATTGAATACGCCTTGTACATATGTAAAATTCCTAGGCAGTTTATATACTGCGAATGGACTATAAGCCGAGTTCTGAAGAGTTTTCAAAGTAGCCCCAGACCGAATCCGAAACACCATTATTCAAGTCCTCACGCCCTTGGCCTGCCGCTCATGTACCTTCCCTGCGTATACCATTCCCTATGAACACCAAACCCCGTGAGGGGACCTTCTCTATTATGTATTTTTAGACACGCAGCCGGCCAGCCGGCTGCGACCTGTATGCCCTCAGATCCCCAAAATGAAAATATCATAAAAACAGTAAATCTTCCTAATCGATATCGCATAGCAAGAACATACCCCTTGTAATAAACACCAGAAAGCAAGACTCAGTTGAGGAAAGAAATGAGGGGTGATGATGCGTTTCCGAAATAGGAACGATTATAGACCCAGCGAGACTTGAGTGTCGGTGAACGCCGAATTATGGAGGTGGAGGGGCGGAAGTCGATTATCAACTAGAAATCGGCGCTGGAAATTATAATGTTGTACCAAATCGAGATACTGCGTTCGCAGTTTGATACTCTAGCCTTGTTGTGAACTCGGTCCGCTCGTGGCGCCGGTAGCGTCTTCTTCTGCCATTCTGTATAGTTCGACACATTCGGTAAGGACTGGGTGGTTAGATATGATTTTGGGAGAACGTGGTAAGTGTGCATTGACAATGGCGACTTACTAGCCATAATGCGCTCTTCCCACACGCCGTAGTCGTAGTCGACAAGGCCAAAGCGTTCAATGCCGTCACAAAGGCGAACCAGCTCCCGAGCCATTTTCTGGAGATCTTCAAACGAGACAAGACTTTGGGACCGATGCAACTTCTTCCCATACCACATCATCTCCTTTTGCTTTTCGAGAAGGCCAAGCCACGCATTGTTGAAGTTTTTCCAAAGCTTGACACGACCTTCATATAGATCTTCGTCATCGGAGGCCAAGCCTGTACCGCCATTGTTAGTTTCAAAACACATTCCTCTGTACTTGTATTGCATGTAGCTGCAGAGTAAAAAACGCACCCAATGCTTCTACCCTTGACAGCAGCCAGTCTGAGATGCTCAAGAGCGATTCGGAAGCTGGTGCCAAGGCACCGCTTTTTGTATTTTTAAAAACATCCTTTAATGTTCGTTGGTATGCGGTGTAGGACTCGTTTGTCTCGGCGTAATCTTGCGAACTGGGTGCTGCTACAGCGGAACCCGACGAGGCTCCCGGATCTGTGCTGGAGGTGGGCTGCGAACTGGTTGTGCTCGGGAGTGGAACCATGCCCGCTCCGTATGCTGCCGCCACATGTCCTCGACTATCGGCTGCGCCTTGGTGTTGGTAGACGGCAGCTGCAGAACCACCGTGCGCGGCTTGTGTATGAAGAGAAACGGCGCCAGAGGTGGCAGAATCGCTGGTGTAGTAGGCAGGAGTTGTGACATCGGGGGTTATTATTTGCATGCCTCCACCGTGCTGTCGGGAAGAATACGCCTGTGTTGTGTCGAAGACTGCGCCTTGTCCAGCTGCTGGCTGGACACCATACAACAATTGAGGGCCGGATGGGTTGTACGTATTTGCAAAGCCGTGCGCCTGTCGTGCGTCTTGGGCGTAGTCCGTCGATTGTTCGGAGTAGGCCATGGCACCATGACCTGCGGCATAGGCGCTTTCTGGGGCCTCTTGGTAGTATCCGCTGTACCCTGCAGCTCCGCTGCTGCTGCTCATTACTCGACTCCCTGACGGCATTCTCTGACGATCGCTGCTGGACGAGCCGGACTGGTGATATTGTCGTTGTTGCGAGCCATCTTGGGCTTGCTGCTGGTATCGTGGGTCTGATGGTGGACGCAGAGGATTCTCATGTTGTTTACGCCGGCGGTAAATGTCGTCCATGGCCCCTCAAACCGTGCCTAGAGAGCGACGGTTGACGACGAGATTCTCGATCAGAAGAGCAATATGTCCAGTACACTCAAGTAGAAAAGTTTCAACTTTGTGATTTAGGTGTTGAAGCAGGCACCGCTGTTTGTAGAGAACTACCTGGCCGTCTTCTGTAGGCTGCCGAATTGGATAGAGACTGGTGATTTATGTGCACTCTAGATGTAGCCTAGTGTTCGAAAGATGACCGCGGGTTAGACTCTGAATGCTATTGAAGAAGCGGAGGGCATGCGAGGTATTGATAAGGAAGTGACTTGGAAGAAATGCATTCTATCAAAACGAGACTGCTCGTCTTATACTCTGAAATGGGATAGAACGTAGGAAAACGTTAGAAGGAAATTCCGGGCCAAGTAAGGGAGTGGACGCAAATACAACTTCCGCCACATTAGCCCTGACGGTGTTCTGCCCCACGTTAATAGAAAGGAAGAAAAGCCGCAGCCCGCAAACGACAAGCTGCAATGGCGGAAAATAAACCGTATAGGACACACAGATTGGAATGAACCCCGTCCAGACCAAGGTATATCGTAAGTAGTCAGAGACGTGGCCAGTCCGCAAAAGGGAAGTTTACGGGCTGGGGAAGACAAAATGAAATCAAAGGAGGACGGACCCAGCCAACATGATGGGAACACGGATGTAATAAACACGGCGACAGTGTAACGAAGTAGGCAAGGATGTCTCATAGGGTGGCAGGCGACAGTATCAACGAAGAGGGAGCAAATATATCATCAGAGTGGATCAGGCTCGATGGTGGTAGGGGTGTTGGAGGTTGGGGATAGATTTGTCCAGGTACAAAAGTGGTCGACGTGTGAGAAAAGACAGGATGGTGGGGACGGACGGGAGCGATGACGGCAGGAGAAACAGGAAACACAGAGAGGACGAGCTTACCTTTGGTATGGCGGGCTAGTCGTGGAAAATGGAGGGGGCGGAGAAGGAGAAGCGACGGAAATTCGTGTCGTGTTCTGAGCAGATTAAGCGTCTTGTGGGGGGTAGTGATGGAGATGCATGGCCAGGAAGAGATGCTGACGATCCGAAAATAGCTGAAGATGAAGGCGGCGAGAATGACGTGGTAGTTTTATAGGGCAAGTATGGTGGAATATTCAAAACCTGCAAGTGGAAAGCGATATCGCAGTGAGTATATGGCAGATGGCGAAGAATATTTGCGAGGCACAGAAATTTCAACTGATGAGACGTTGTTGGATTTGGAGGTCGGAAATATGATTGAAAGTGAACACCACTGACATTCAATGATAAGGTTTCCGGCACGAAGGCAGTTGCGTCAACAACTTTGACACCTACGCTCCGCAAAAATCAAATTTTGGGCGAGGTCATGAGTAAAGGAACGGGTCTGTTGAGCAAGGCACAAAATCGCAGAGAGTGATTTGTTGCTTGATCATTAAAAAAGAGGGCTGAGAATTCGTAAGTGTGAGGTGGTTAAATGGCCGATGGAGAAGAAAAGACCCCCGGGCAGTTCTTGTAGGTAGTGCATACGGATTCGACGAGGCTTGGAGGTTTGATTGGGCAAAGAGTTGAAGACACAAGTGTGGGTGCACGGGATACTGCAGCTGGGAAGACCGATCTGGCAAGCATGAGGGAAGTGGAAGAAGAAACCACGGAGGCCTGGGGGGACGAACGTCGTCTTGGCAGGGTAGACAGTCGAGCACTAGCATGCAACGGAAGAATGGCGTGCATACCACCGTATTAGTGGCGAGAAGCGGATAGGGGGGTTATGAGCAGTCCGTCATACAGTAGGGGCTGAAGATCTCTGAACGCGGGCGCGGTCATGCGTCGGGGTACTTGAATTGGGCCAGGGGTGAGGAATGAAAGAGGGTTGTACAAAGTGAGCTAAAGAAAGTTATTTCTTACATTAGTTTCTTTTGGGGGTTTGGTGAATGGGGCCCTAACGTCTTTTTTGTTCAGCTCTCCAGACGTTCGCCTGAATGAAAACTATTTTCTAGCCTTTGTTTTGTGAACTCCGTGTGGGCGCGTCCGATACCGACGGGAGTTTGCTTGGCTTACTCCCCCGAGACTTCGAAAATGGGAGTGGATCAGGTCGACATAGGGACGCGAAGATTCGACGTTTGCTGGGAGGGATGGCTTTGGGAGGTTGTTGGACGGCTCACCTGGCCGCTGGAATAGTACGTTCTGGAGTTTTGGTGTCAGAAAATGTTGAAGTTGTCGAGGTCAACGTCGGTATGTAACAGATTTGTGAATATTCGATATCGTGTATAAGGGCTCGGTGTGTCTCGAAACGTGGATAGGGATGTTGCTGGATGTATTAGGAAGTGGTCCAGCTGGCGCAGCTTCAGCGACTGGTGACGAGGCAACCAGAGCCGAAAATGGACCCAGGACCGTGTGAGATGCCGATAATGAAAAGTATGTCACTGTCGAACCGCGCCGGAGTCCGTCAGCGTAGTGTGTGTTCGATGGATATCCAGCAAGGGGCAATCCCGGTGGTCACGATTCGGAGCGGAGGGAGGCCTCGGTGTGTCGACGACAGGCACAGATGCGGAAGAGTGAGAGCGGTTGAGGTGAAACAGGCGAGTGAGAAAACGAAATACCGCCAGGATCGAGAGACTGCAAGGCAGAAGGCTTCTTTTTTTTCTATCCCCACGGATTGGAGAAAGGGAAGGGACGGATGTTTTAAAGGTAGCCTAGGAAGGTAGTGCGAGAGGCTAACGGGGGCGTGTGACGAACGATCAAAGGAAGTAGCCAGGAATTGCATATGTACTCTCCCCCCTTTTATGTGTAAATGGCCCAGTTAGGAAAGAACTATTGTACATTGGTCGATGATGAGGAAGGTTGTGGGAGCGTTCCTTCCAGAACAGCTTGTGAAAGTAGGAAGGCGCAAACGACTCAAGAAATGTATGGGAGTTGGAAGAAAAGTGAAGGAGCACAACGGAGTGTTTTGATCGTTCTTGCACGAGACTCTTCGTGAGGGCAGTAGGCGGTTCGGGGCTCAACTATATGAGCGTCCAATACGAGTTTGGAATTTTGCCGGTGTTTTTATCACTGCCAGTTATTTTTCTTTCCTTTTTCTTTTTCTTTTTCTTTTTTTGACTGCCGTCCGAAGCACACTCTATCCTCTTACACGTCTAATATCGACCGTCGTCTGGGCATACTTGCTGGCAATCGGTTGTGTATAAAGGTGATTTGCCCTCCAGATATTCCGCCCGTGCGCGTGCTTTGTTCTGCGGGCTATATGACCACGTCCAGTTGCACCTCAATAATGGGTGCGGTGTCTATGTCGGACAGGTGTTGATGTTCTGTTCTTGCCAGAACTGAAAGATGGATGACACGACAGGCAACAGGGCTGGAAGAAAGAAGCAGGTGGAGAAGGGGGGGGGGGCGAGACTGGGACGAGGGGAGTTAAGAAAGACGGAGGAAAGGTAAACGGGCTCGTGGCAGCTTACTCGGCTACCGCGCCGCCCGTTCGACTTATTTGCTTATTTGTTTCTATGGTGGCCTGGTCCCCCCATGTTGTGTTGTGCATATACGTGATCCGGCAGACAAGGTTCGTCGGGCCGTGGCCGATTCGCTTGGGAGGAGGACGAGTGACGGCACTCACGAAATAAAAGCAAATAAATAAGTAGACACTCACCCACCTTCGTCTGGGGTACGGGTTCGGCTGTTTCCTTGCACAGATGGGGGGAAGGACAAGGAGAAAGAGAGGGGCGGGTGCAGGGCGAGCCTTGGTTATAGCGACAGGAACGCGGCTTCTGAATGTTTTATGTGTTGTCAGGGTATGTCGCGATCTTCCTTGGGAGAAGAACGATGGTTGGATCCGGCGAGCGAGTGTAAACTGAGAAGGGATAAACCGACAGGGGTTCGGTGCTAAGGAACGAGGGTAGACAGGATCGGAAGAGGCACAAGCAATCGCCGAGCAAGGGCGACAATGCGAACAACAGGCGTAAAACAAAACCACGAGCTCCAGTCGACGAGACGAGAACCAAATGAACCGTTGCTTCCGTACCGACCAGCCAATGGGGGCAGGCACAGGCAGGCAAAGGAGCACTGTAAGGCAGAGAATACACCGACAAGAACCGGGAATGGGAAGGGAAGGGTTGAAATGGGGAGGGTGGCGAGCTGGTAGCAAACGATAATAGAATTGTGATTTGTACGGAAATCAAGAGTACTACTGCCAAAATATTTGGGGAGAAACCAAAGGGACAAGACTAGGAACTGCTTGGGATGAGAATAGCAGGAATAAGAAACACTGCATTAAAGCAAGGCACGTAATGGGACAAAAAGAAGAGGATGAGAGAGCGCCGCCAGCCGTTGCTGCCCATTTCACACTACATCCGCGAACAGGAACGATGGGCACGACTTAGGACAGTGTCATTTTCGGTGGTATTGCTTCTTTTCTTTATTTCCCCTTTAGTCACTTTCCCTTTGTTCCTGTTATTCTGTCAGGGCTTCTTTCTCACCTTCGATTAGACCAGATACGCACTGGCATTGCCACTTGATTTAGTGCGACATCTTTGAGCCCGCGTTGTACCCCTTCTGACGTCCCTGCCACGAGGATCGTATTCTTTTCTCCGCGCACACTGCACAAATAGGGTATTACGGAGCAAACACCAAGTTCGTAGACGGCCGAGGACTGCTCAGCAGTATACTATATCCACCAGACTTTACACAAACCAAGGTGTTGAGCTTATCCTACCTTGCTCTATTGGATCTTGGGCGGTGCTAGTCATTGAGTTTGAGGAGGAGAGTTTCGACGTACGAATTACAGACGGACGTTGTTGTTAGTACTTCATAAACCCGTTGGTTCACGTGGCATCAGACAAGATTAAATTATATTTCAAAGAGAAGGAAGTTTGTTGTGACTCCGAGGAGAGGCAGTGGTGCGAATGCCTAGGAACTCGGGGACAAGATAGCAAAGAGGGAGGGCAAAAACCAGAGCACGAGCGCGAACAGAAACGAAGGGAAAAGAAAATGAGGGAAACGCGAATCAACACAAGAGCACAAAATTCTTTGTTGCTAAGAAACAGACGTGGGTGAACTGTGCGGAAGAATCCAGCAGAGCGCGACTGTCCAGTGAAAAGTGCACAGGAACTGCCTCGTGTTAGACCCTTGAACCATGTCGTTGGAGACAAAGAAGAAAGGGGCGGAGGAAAGGGGCCAGTTCGGTGCAGTTCTCAGACGTGGTGGACTTCAATTTACTAGATGGGCGATGCGCCACCGATCATAGACCCCTGTCTGCTCTTGCCACAACGAGAAAGCAACGAACAAAGAACCTTATCATTGGACAGGCCAGACGTTTCTTTCTTGAGTCGTTCTTTTGTTCTGCATGGCTTGCAGTTCCAGCTGATCTCTTCTTTGGTACCCAGCGGCGCTTTTAGTGCATATACCAAGAACGACTACAGTCGCACTCGTGGACCTCGAACCAGGGAGGTGGATCAGGGACGGTGGAACGCTTAGCCAATCAACCCGCTCGCTGGGGGGAAAGAAGTCGAGGTGAGGAGGGTGGCATTTTCCTCAAGGTTTGCCGAGGCGACCTTTATCGAGCGCAAACACTACATGTACTAGCCGTTGACTACACGACCAACTTTTAGACGGTTTGTACCCAGTACCACGCTATCGGGGGTGATAGCGTGGCACTGCGTTTTGAGAAGGAACGAAAAGCGGAGAGAGAGGGAAGGGACGCACTGGGAGATATTTTTGGAGCGTTTTTCCAAATCGCAGAGACAAGACGGAAAGATGTAGCCCAAGACGCATGGGATGGGCAAGAGCAGTCGAGCAAAAAAAAAAAGAAGAAGAAGAAGTACGTACAGAAGCGCACAGAGGAGGTGGAGAGGAAGGAGCGAGACGCTCGGCGACGTCACACATTTTATACGCCAGTGGCACACCCGTTGCACTTTCCTAATTGCCCGGACATGTACCGTCGTTATGTAGCACAAGCCGGACTGCCGATGGCCCAGAGGGAAAGAGCATTTTGATATGAGGTCGGTGGTAGCACAGCAGGCAAGACCGGATGGAGGTACCTCGAATGGTGGTGGCCGTGCCTGGCCGCATCTTACGCACGCATCGCTGCAGCTCTGCGGACATGCACTCGTCCCATTGTGCACAGCGCCCCTGCGTTGCCCAGCCTGGCTGCGCGCGTGTAAGTCCAATGTATCACAGGGCAAGTCGTTGGGGCACTGAATTAGAAAAGCGTGGCCTGGCCCACGAGATTTTATTCACGGGGATCACTTTTTTCGCTTTCTAATTTTATTTTGTCGCGAAGGATCCGGGCTTACACGACCTATGAAATAATCGGAGCCGCTCTCAATGTGAGATCTTGCAGTGTCGATCAAAAGGGCCCGGTCACTATGGGGCATAACGTTGGGGCCTGAGAAGTGTGGGATCGAGCAATGAAAAAGGAACACTAAAACTGATATTCTCGTCCGTCCCTTTTTCATTTTTACGTCTTTTTCCAGTTCCCCATTTCGGTTTCCAGTACATCATAGACGCGCTCGGTGCCATCCTCTCGGCGTTGGCCACTTGCCCAGCTTGGTGTTAGTGGGTGTTTTTGGTCCGTCAGGTGGACCGTCGATATATGGACTTAACGAACACGCAAGGACAAGGCAAGCGGTTGAGGAAAAAGGTACTACGACACACGTTGTAAAAGACGAAAAGACATGCCGCACAAGTCCATGTGGCACATGGAACCAAGTGTGCCCTCCTTTCCAACTGCCATATATGCAGGGCCCCGAAACGCGAGCCTGCTGCTGACCACCATTTCGAAGAAAAAGAGATCCAAATTATAAAGAGAAAGGGGATACATCGGGTGCTGGCCTGACAGCCCTGTCAACGACGTTTTGATCACGCCTTCTAGCCCCTTTTTTCTGCCCCTCGCCGTGTATGCTCCGGAAATCTGCCGACTCGTCCGTTCTGTTTGAGCAGCATCTTTGTGTGGAGGAGATGCAAGGGTCTTGGGTAATATCGGCCGTTGAATATGCGCCCTACCATCTAGCAGCAATCTGCGTACCACATGGATCTCCTGGAGATACATGTCCTTGTACGAAAGAGTCTTTACAAACTAATTTGAGTGCTAATGGGGGATTTGCTTGGGCTTCTGCGTTGCTTGCAAGCTGCTGCGAGGCAATGAATTTTGCCGACGTCCCCCCATCTCACAACTGCGTGTGAATCTTCTCCTTTTCATCACTTGCTCCATCTTTCCTCCCTGGAGCCGCGAAAGGGGGGCACGCTATCTCGAGACCATCCAGGCCTAGTGTCTTTGAGCGATTGCGCTTGTTGTGCGTCTGAAAAAAATTGGAACAAAAAAGGTGTGCGTGTCGGTGCAAGGTGGGATCCGGTCTCACCTTTTGGGTCGATTTGGTTTGACTTGGTTCCTCGCTCGCAACCGCCTTTGTTCCTGGCCCAGTTTATTGCCACGGGGGTCCTCCTCAAGTTGTCCAAGCGCGCCCGGCAAAGCCACAAACAAAAATCGTGGAATTGGCGTCGACATGGAAACAGGGCTGAGATACCCTCGCGTGTCTCGTATCGGACGTTTTGTATATTCTCCGGGAGGCGGGTGGACGCGATGCTACGACGTGTTTGTCTTGCTACGTCTTTGTTCACATCCTTCACGCAACACTTCGTTATGGACCTAGTCGTAATCCCGAGTTCCAATCCCCTCAACCTTCCCCCCTTTTTTGCGTCGGCCATTATTTTTCTCGTCTGAGTCTTTGTGGCCGTGGTCCACTTTCCTAGTTATCTAAGGGGCCCGCACCATTGCCAAAAAGCGAGGCGCGCTCGGCCATAGGCCCCAGCTTATCGTATTCTTTGCCACTCGTTCAGATCATTCAGCTCGCGTGTTGTGCCTTGTCTCTTTCTCCGGTTTCCCGTCTTCTCCGACCCTGTGGCGCAATTCCGCGACTTCGGATGCTGTCCTTTGCAAATCCTCTCGCTATTCTTGCCGTTTTTGTCGTCGTCATTTGGACCATTAGTTTGCGATACAAAGCTTGTGACATCAGCTGGCGAATGGGATGCGCTGTATTGTGTCGTCTTATGTCGCGGGAATTGTTACCTTAAAAGACAAGACAGGAGGTAATATTGAGGACGTTGATTGCTCCTTCTGCTTTCGAGTCCCCGGCCGATCCCAGCCTCATCCCACTCTGCCATGTCATTGTTGATCACCTCAGTGGCTCGTTTTAGGCAAGAGCGGAAGGTAAATGCAACATAACAACATGCACGACAGAGTTGCACTGAGATCTTCCGCAAACCTTCTTTTCCGTAATTACAATCTTCCGACGAGGTACATGATTCGCGCTTACCTTAGCCGTCGGATGGGTCTCACGCAACCAGACGAAAAGTCATATTCATTCTTTGGCAAGAGCGACTGTCGTTCATTTTGGAATGGAATATAAAAAACGGTTGTGGAAGGAGCAGACGAGGCCGGCTAGTACTCCTTCCACATTTGCGCATCTTGGTGCACAACCATGTGTACCTCTGTTGCAGTTGCCTTGTCTGGGTCGTGATTGTTTATTTTGCTCACGTAGGACACAGCTCGCTACCACATGAACTTGTCTTGTCACAGCCAGCATTCATCCTTCAAAACACCTCCGGCCAAGACTGGAATCTATCTGCGTAAACGAAAGTGCAAGGCACTGCGGAAACAACAACGCGCGGTCTCACAGCCAATTGTTAAGTGCAAACCAGCCTGGATGAATCTCACTCGTTCGTGGGCGTCCTCTGGGTGGCGCACTCTTGGATCTGTCAACAAATCATGAAACTGAGCGATTCGTTAAGTTTGGGCATATTCTAGAATGACTTCACCACGTTGCCAAAGGCAGTGGCTGGCCGGCTGGTGAACCGTTCAATGCGCATCCATGGCTATCCCAGCGGGCATATGCCCCCGGCATCTCCCTACCGGCGTCCTTTCCAGTGTTGCACCTCTGCCGTTTCGCCTCTTCTGCCCCTGCCCACTCTTGTTTGCATATTGTTCGTTCGCTGTTCGCAGGAAAAACGGTCGCAGGCTCTTGCACACTCCCGCCGGAGTCCGTGCCCTGGTTAAGCTTTGGCAGTTGAAACGCTCTGGGCATGCGTTTTATACAGGGCATGGACGGCCTCTTAGCATCATGAATATACCCTCCCAGCCAGCCTCTCGACCAGTATCCTGTCGTATGAAGAAAGGCTCCGCAATATCAGGCTCCCAAATCAAACGCATATTTTTCGCGAGTTGTGCATGGACTATTCTTCCAAGGCGATTAATGTCTATTGAAGCAGACTCTGGCTTTAAGTTTACCTTTCTTGATCATGTTTGCGCCCGAGAACATCGATACCTTACGATTTCATCGCGCTGGTTAAACGGGCGGAGAACGCTCGGCCTCGAAGTGGCCCGTCTCATCAGTCCCATCTTAATTCAAGCGCTGGGTCGAAAACAGGGGTCCGGGCTCGAGGTTTTTGGGATGATGTGCGATGTGCGATGCACACCTGCGATGCACAGCGATGCGCCGCACATCTGCGCAGAAGGCTCTCAATGCTACCTTTACCCAGTGCGGACGAGTCGTACGTCGGCCTTCCATCACCTGCACATTATATGATGTGCCATTTTACAGAGACAGACATTGGAACCCGACGTGATGCGCACCTCATCTACATCCTTTTCCGTCTCTGGGCCGGGAACGATAGAGACTGGTTCGTGTCTTGCGACAGGCGGCTTTCCGTTCCCACCTTGCCGAGCCAGCAGTCTTCACCACACCAGTCTCGTTGCTATTGTTTTGGCTTTGACACTTGACAGTGTCGTGACCTCCCCCTGCCGATAAGGAAAAGGTGCCGAGACTTTTCTGCCCGCTTCATCCACGTCCTGCGCCCACTCACTGACGTGACGTTTGGTTCCCTGGCAGGCCATCCACAGGTATGCGGATAGAGTGTCCAAACCATTCGTGTATTGCAGGGGGAAGCACGGAGAGCCTCGTGTGAGGCTTTTGCCGTGCTCATACCCTGGTCAGTTACAGGCTTTAAGCCATATTATGGTGCACATGTGCCCTGCACCCTTTAATATGCAGACACTCAAAGGTATTGTTCGCTCTGTGTGGTATTGTTTTCAATTAAAGCCCAAGAAAATGATATTTGCAGGAGTTGCTTGACAAACTGCAGCCAAAAGCCTATAAACATCTCGTACTATGTTCTTTCTGGCTTCCATCTATTTTCGTCTGCTAAGAATCCTGGTTCGGCAGTCTTGTCGCTGCATATATCTCTATATAGCCTCGGCCCGGCTCACAAATATGCTATTCTGGGCTGCGCAACTGGGAGACACGGCTCCTCGTCACATTTTTATGTGTGCATTGCCGCTTGGACTCATTATATACAGCTCCAAATATGCCCAAACGCCAATCTATGTGAGTATACAACTTATATGAGAGTTCTGGGCTACGTCTCACTTCAGACCGGGAGTAACAGTATAATAAAATACGCGTAGAATATTTGATAGGCGAAATATCGGCCTGAAGTTCACTTGATACCTCCTTGAGTTCATCCGTGAGATCGCAGAAAATTATGTGCCATAAAGCAGCGCCATCCTTACTTTTACCTATACTTATATCAGAACAGAGGCAAGGCTGGGCGAGAGACACATTGCCGTTTTGGATGTCAGTTCGTTCCATGGTCCAGGAAGTTCATATTGCAAACTATATCAAAGATGCCAAGTACAAATTCTGACAAGGGTAAGACATGACGATTTTAAAACCAACAGCCACAAAAGAACCAAATGGTGGCTATGCTTTCAAGAAGCCTGCTTTCTATGAACTGTCTTAGAATGACCGTGTTGCCGGCACGTTGACAAAATATCCAATAACAAAGTGCCTCTAGTATACATGACACGGTCTGCCCCGCACGATCTTATGTTTATCCCGAGGACAGAGTTCAGGGATGGTGAAGGCGGCCGGAACGTGAGATATATATGCCTAATAAGTAGTGGGCCAAACGGCCCATTGAGATAACGGGATCGGGAGACTCTGCCGAACTGGCAACCCTCCACGTTTTCGGCCTCTTGTTTGCCCTATAGCCCTGCCCTTGCGTGCTATGTTCTCTTCTATGGCGAGATGCGGGCTGTAGAACACGGGTGGCCCTGTGTCCAGCCATGAAATGGTCTTTCTGGAAGCACACGAAACATACCCCGGCCTGGTTGTGGTAGAAAGACAAACCTTAAAAGATGTGCCCATTTTAAAAACGCCTGAACTGCCTGTCGGATAGGCCGGTTGAGCCACTGTGGGAACTTGATCAGAGCTTGGTTTCCGGCTGTTGTCTACGTCTCGTATCTGCATCATGCATTTTGTTAGTAGCCTTAGGATGGTGTGAAGATGGCAGTCCGAGTTTGTAACGAACTAAATGTTGTTTTAGACGATACCAGCGTCGACCGAACATAGCCCCGTGGGGCCGACAATGGCATAATTGTTGTGAATGTTTTGATGTTTTATTTCTTTTAGTTTTGTTTCTGCGTTTACGCTGTGATTTGAGTTTGCAACCACTCGCTCGTCCACCTCCCCCAGACCTCCCCTTTCAGAGCGCGGTCTTATACCTGATCGTACAATTATTCACACATATGCTATCATTCCTGCTCATGTAAATGAAATAAGACACGTTCGTGTACCACCCACGAACACCTCAAAACACGACGCGCACACGTCCCGCGATGCTAAGAAAAAACCACGTGGGCCAACCTCTGCAGAATGCTGTCCACGTGGATCGACGCTTGGTGTGTCACACGATCGTAACAAGACAGACAGTCTCCATCCCTGGCTGCCAATGTCGATTTGGCCCCTGAATACGTGTGTGTGAAGCCGCTTTCGCATGCTGGGGTTGGTGCCGTCCGCGCCAACGCGTGCCCACACTATCTCTTGACCCACGCAGGCATCTTTCTCGCCTTGAGGTGACCCGGCTTCTTGCGCTCCACCGTTCTTCTATCACGCGTAATGCAGCCGGCTGGAGCGAGAGAAAGACGACATGTTAGCAAAATTCTGCAGAGAAAATACCATATTTGTGCGGTTGTAGCTTGGGCCTTCAGTGCGAGCCGTGAGCCGTCTAACGTACCTTTTCGGAGTGCTGTCTTGAGCGCGGGCTCGTGGGTCACGAGCGCCTTGGCCACAGCCAGCGTCAGCGCCTCAGCCTGGCCGGTCGTGCCACCTCCATCCACCAGCGCCCACACGTTGTACTTGTCCATCCGCTCCGTCGACCGTAGCGCCCACGTAGCGCTCTCGCGATCGTGAACGCGCGCAAACGCGCCGCTAAGGCTCTTGCCGTTGACAAGCACCTCGCCCGTACCCTCCACTACCCACGCACGCGCAACCGACTCCTTACGGCGACCAACACCCAGGGCACGGCCGAACTTGTCGACCGTCTGCGGCTTCGGCAGATTCTCGTCAAAATTCGTCTTGACAATGAATTCGCGGAGAAACTCGGTCACAGCAGCCGGCTTCAGGTCGGGATTGATGCGGTGCAGGGTCTTCATCATGCTCAGGTATCTTTCGTACACTGAATTCTTGACTGACTCGCGAAAGATCTCCTGAAACTTGTCCCTGGACATCCATGCCACACGCTCCGTCTCTTGCGAGGGAAGTTTGGGCAGTTTGCTGTACCGCCTGAACAAATCCCGCAGGGCCAGGAAGCGGTCGGTGAAGTTCTCTGCGCGCGTAAAGTAGGACGGAGATAGGGGGACGGCGCGCGCATAGCCTCTGAGCTGCTGAAAGTTGACTGCGGCTGGGCCGCCACCGATACCTTCGCCGTTGCTGCCGCTCTGTGAACTTTCGGAGAGAGCGCCGCTTGTGTACTTTTCGAGCATCGCGTCCATCTCCAGGTCGCTAGTATTGGCAAGCGAGGCAGGAATCAGCTCTCTCTCGGTCGGCTCTGGGCGGTGTATTTGTTCAGAGCGATATCTGGTCTGCGCCAGTATTTGGCTGCCGGCGGGCTTGTTGGTGATGTGTGCTGGGCCAATCCGCAGCTGCGAGAATTGCTGCTCAAGCCGCATCCGTGCCCGTGGGCAGGAGGAGGCGACCCCACGGGATAGCAAGCTTGCGCTTATGCTAGCCATGGCGGTTGTGGATGGGAGAAGAATTCGAGTTGTGTCGTCGTCGCCAGAAGGCGTTCATGAGGCTATGGTAGAAACAGACGTCCCCACGAATCGGTCGAGACCGGGCACGGAGGGGGGTATCGTGACACGGTCCCGGATTGGGTGGTTGTCGAGTGGTTGTCTGATGCTCGACAGTACTTTGTCGCGGTGATGAGCCTGTGATCGTAGCCTTGCAGTGGTCCAACTTTCAAAAATTCAATTGCACTACGTCGCATTTTGCCGTGGGCTGGCCACGTGATGCGCAGAGCTCAAAAGCGGCGTCCCAAAAGGGATGGAGGGTGCTAGGGAAGCTCTTTGACGCAGTTGTTCCTGCCAATTTTGCCGTTCCTCTACCAACCGCACTGGCCAATGGCAATTGGTAGGTCCCACCACCCGCTCGTTTTTCAGCATTTAACTTTGATTTTTTTTTAAATGCCTAATGCTGTCGCGGTATGAGATTTTTTGAGAATTTTGGCCGGACCCCACCATCCGTCCGGGCTCCTTCCTTGGGCATTATTTTTGCGACGAAAAAAACTTCCTTTCTTTGCTCCTTCCCCTCCTTCCCCTTCTCTTCTTCTCTTCTCTCCTTCGAACCCCAGCATCACCACCCCTTTTATATCGAACCACACTCGTACCTCACATTCACCATGTCGTTCGGAAAACTCTACGGCTTCCTTGTGAGTCTCCTCCTGCATTGAGTCTTTCTTGGCCGGCTGCTTTTGCTCGAGCCCCGCGCTGCCTGTTCTGCTCTTTCGCGTCGTTTCGACAGACATTCTTCGTCTTGATTTCTTTCGTCTTTCATTGCTCTTTCTCGCCTCTTTCTCTCCTGACTTTTATTTTATCCGTCTTCTGCATAACATCGCTGTTCATCGGACGCTCGTCAGGCTGACCCCGTCTTGCAATGTGCAGGAGAACCCGCGCACCACGGGCATCCTGGTTGTGGCCAAGGCCAACAACCTCGATATCGAGCTGGTCGACACCGTCCCCGCCACTGCC